GGGGGTGGGGGTGGGGGGGGGGGGTGGGGGGGGGGGGGGGGGGTGGGGGGGGGTGGGGGGGGGGTGGGGGGGGGGGGGGGATAAAGCCCTGTGAGGCAAATTGTGATTTGTGATATTGGGCTTTAGAAATAAAATTAATTGAAAATTGAAACTGATGACGGATAGGCTTTGAGCCTGACAGCACTTACTGTTGGTTGTATAAAATTGAGTTGCAGGGAACTGATGTTTGTTTCAATTCAATTCAAATGCAACCAGGATAAAAGCATCAACTCAAAGACCAAAATCAAAGAACTAGAAAAGCCAGTTAAACAGCACCTTTCCTCTTTTTGTAAACGATGAATCCAGAGGCAGCGACGAGGACGAGAACAACCACTGCTGCAGTGATGGGGACGGTGATGTCACGGGGCTTCTCTGATAACAACAACAACAAAAATAAAACATAGGACCGGTACAGATAAAGCAGGTTTGAGCAGAAGTCCATCCCTCCCTCCCTCCATCCATCCATCCATCTGACTTGGACTTGAGTTAATACAGTATAATGGGCTGTTATCTTAAAAGTGTGTGTCTGTAAAACCATTTTAAGCATCATATGTGTTAGATTTAAAAAGACAGACACTGTGGCACATTTTGTTAAAAACTAGAATTCCCTCTTCACGGTTGTGTGCCCCCTTTGAAACAGTTTATTTGCACTCACAGTTTATATCCTTGTCTGTGACAACATGGATGCTTCACACACATCTTCAACCCCGACAGCACAGAGGATCTAAACAATCAGCACAGTTTCAAGGTGGACACCCAAGATTAGTGTCACCAATTCAGTATCTGACCAAATGTCTCACCTTCTGTTCCTGAGTTATGACGCTGAATAATGGCCAGGGAAGTGTTGTATTCAGAACATTATGATGTCACAGTGAAGTTGACCTTGAACTTTTTATCCTATCAGACAGTTGTCTGAAATTTTGTCATAATTAGAGTATGGATTCTTGAGTTGTGACCAAAAGCATGTTGTGTGAGGTCACAGTGACCTTATAAAAATATTGCGTTCATGAAAATGAGTCAGATATAAGGTCACAGTGACCATGGCCTTTGACCACCAAAATCTAATCAGTTATTTCTTGAGACCAGGTGAACATTTGTGCCAAATTTGAGGAAACTCCTTCAAGGTGCTCTTTAGTTTTCACATTCATGAGTATGGCACAGACGGACAACCTGAAAGCACAATGCCTCCTGCCACAGTTATCACTGGAGCAGAGCAGAGGCATAATAATACATTAATCATAATATAAGAAAATAAATATATCTAAACTGAAATGATCAAAGTTAAAGTTGTCTTCAGTTAGAAATTAGATACAATGGAATGAAATCATGTTGTGGAGAGTTCAACATCGGCCATGTACTGTATGATTCTGAGTTCAGTAAAGAATGGACACGCAGAACAAAGCTGTTATTTGTGTGGTAAAAACAATGTGGTCTATAAAATGCTTTAATCTTTCTTTGACTTTAAAATGATCTTGTTAAGCTCACAGGACCTGACCAGAGATCAGAGGGTGAGCAATGTGCATTGGTTTATTATTATTTTTTGAAGATGTCTTCCCAGCTAAACTGGAGGACAAAAGCTAAACTACCTAATGCTGAGGTAGCTAACACGCTCACTGACAGGTTAGGCTTTTTGTCCATGTGGTAGGCCGAACACATTAACAGACCCATACAGCACCAAAAACAGTGAAAAATCAATGAATCATGAACTGCAGGACAACTAACGTAAACTAAATACATCTTTCTCACATCTGTCACTCTTACCCATGTTGGTCCTGATCACTGCTTTGTCCAGTTTGGTGACGATGTGGTCCTTCACACCAGAGAGATGAAACACACAGTTGTACCTCCTCCAGTCTTCAGGTGGGACTGATGACAGGTTCAGGTCAACACTCATCTGGAAGGATCCATCGTGGTTGGGGAGGATCTCTCTGAGCTCCACGTCCTCATGAATCTCCTCTCCATCTTTCCTCCAGAACATCATGGCTCTGTCAGGGTAGAAACCTGTAGCGTGGCAGCTGACTGGAGAGGAGGGAGACTTCTGGAGGAGAGACACTGAGGGAAGGTCTGCAGACAGAGAGGCAGGTAAAGACATATGTGAGTTCTACCTTTTTTGCACAGTAAATTTGAATGCTTGTTCATACCATTGGAGGATAATTGTTGCTGGTCAATCTAAAAGTAATCTCAATCAACAACAATCCAAAGTGTGAAAATTCTTCACACAAGTGTGCTAAGTGCATTCACACTGCATAGTACAGGAAAATGCAGTGTACTACTGGCGCAAACAAAACGGTCCAAAAGTTGAGTGTAGAATGATGGACACCTCTCACCCTCAACTGTCACCATCTTTGTAATGTAGCAAACTTCTCAACTTTTGACATGGCAGGGATAACACAGAGCATGTTGGTTATACATGTTTTTTGCACTAAGTACCAGTACTGTTGTTGAATAAAAGGTGTCAGTGATGTTTGTTGGGTCTGTAATGATTTGGTACCGTTAACAGTAATGCGAGTGCTAACATTAGTTTGCTAGCTAATGTTAGCATTTGCTGGGTAGCTAACTTGCTCCTAGCTAAGGCAGCACATATTAATCAGCACTGATGTTGTGACGTAGGTTTGGTTTAAGTGTGGGTGGAGATAGCAGTCAAATGTTGGCAATAATGCTCCACTGTCTGTTTGCAATTTGTCATTTAAGAAGAAAACAAAGATGAAGAAGTAGAGGTGGTTAAAAAGCCGTCGTCATTTCCAGTGAGTGCAAAATGGTAGTTTGCGATTTGAGACAACACTGGCCTGTTGAAATTAGTGCACCACGCAAGAAGTACGTAGTACAGAGTAGGGGTGAGTTCGTGTACAAAAATCTCTTAATATTTAGAGTGGGTAATTTTTTTTATGTGTAAACGTGTACACGGGTTTCTCCGCTGGGTGGTGCTATTGCATTATACTAGTAAAGCCCCAGTTATCCGAATACCAACCGAATGGGCCATTTAACGGTTACAGGCCGCCACTCCGAAATATCGCCATTCCGACATCCCGAATTCTGGTCCCTGAGTCCTGACAGTAAGCTATGGCGAGCCTGTAGACGCCGTATTTCCCACGCATGTCAGCGATTTTCATCGGGGACGCACGCGAGTAATTCAGGCTGACATTACCTGTGCATGTGGTGCATGACATGGGAATAAAAGAAACTAACTAACCTGTTTTTCAGCAAACTCCTCTGGTAATTTTATTAAAAAGCATGGCATATAGGCGATCACAGATATTTGATGTGGGAAAGATGTAGCCAGATGTATTACCTGTTTTTAAGCGACACCAAGATACGTGGCTCGTCCGTCCGTCCGAAAAAAAAGTTTTTCGTTTATGATCTCACTCACTCCTAGAACACAGTGTATTAAATTGAAGTGTAGTAATGAAAGTATGCGATTTTGAGACACACCCCAAGTCTCCGCTTTGATGGACAGAAACGTCAGAGCATTCCAACATGTCAGTCTCTACTGATTGGTGAGAGCTAAATTAAATTTTACTGCCACATAAAACATTCAAACAGAATTTAATGTCAGACAGTTTGGAGTGAAAATACATCAGCAGTTCATTCTGAGCAGGTTGTATGAACATTGTTATGTTAATGAAACTACATCAGGTCATGTGATTCTACCTTTTCTCTGCAGATAGCTCTTTCCAATGGCCACATAAACCTTCAGCCACTCAGGACAAACATGAGTTAAGTAGTTTTCATGGTCTATTAGTCTGACTTTGTCAGCATTCCATCTCAGTTTGGTGACGACAGCCTGTGGTTTCGGAGCGATCCATGTCAGTGTCTTCAGGTCCAATGATATGAAGTCTTCTCCATCATAACCATACTGCATAAAACCCTTAACCTCTCCAGTTTCATCATCCCACCCACAGCCACTCATCATCTGGAAAATGTGGATACCTGAGAAACAGAGACTGTAATTAACAGTGATGTACAGATGATACCTCCAGTGGAAAGATGATCTTAAACATATTGTACATTGTGTGATGCTCAGTCTTTTGGTGTGTTTATGATTCAAGAGCAGATCATCAGTGCACTTTTTCTTCACATAAGTGATGAAACACAATTTCTATTTCACAGTTTAAAAGTTACAAAGGTAACCATATATTTTAAGATGATGTAGTTTTGCTGTTGTTAAATGTGTTCCCCAATCAATCAATAAATCAATATGTTCACTGTTTTCCATAGAGACATGTGAGAACAATGAGGTGCTCTTCACAAATTCAAGGTTCACAGGTTAAGACTAACTGATTTACACATGGTCATTTTGTGGGTGAAATATTCCTTTAAGATGCCAAACATGAGCTGCAGTGTTACTGGTTGGTGTCCAGCTGAGGACCTCATCTCTCTCCCCCTCACTTCCTGTCATATCTGACAGAAAGTAGTCTTTGATGCAGTCCTAGGTTCCAGTGACCAATACAACTGACAGTTCTCCAGGAATTCACTGAATTATCTTTATTGCATAACTTCAACTACTTGGATTACCAAGTGGGCAAACTGGGCAAGGCAGCTGGAGTTTATAGAGCCAATTGACACAGTTTCTCTCCACCAACTGTAAAACTTAAGTGCATGATGGGAAACACCTGACTGTCCTTTAATCTTAAAGTTTATTGTCTTAGTTGTTTGACTACAACGTTTACATGTTATAGAAATCTTAATTTTCTAATGAATTGTGAAGATTCTGATATTATTAGCATGATTTTGTATGATGAGATGAAAGGCGCTGCAGCACATCTGCTGGAATTACAAGAACTGACCTTTTGCTAAGCCCCGCCCCTTTATGATGTTCTGTTATCATATTTTTGGAAAAATGAAATAGTGATTCCAGAGAGAAGCAGACAGAGGGGTCTACAGTCTGTGTTTGAAGGATATATCCAGGATGTCAAACTGACTCAGCAACAACAACAGGTTAAAAACACCAGTAAACCACCACATCACTGGTGATCGCGACAGAAGACAATGAATATAAAGGCAAACGTTGCTGATATTGAACCAGCTGTGTGGCATCGCAGTGTGTGCAGATTAACAGTGTTTGGCTTTGCCCTTGTGCTGCTGCCAGTGGCTGGACCTCCACCGCTGGACAGGCAGGGATCTCCAGGAGTCAAAACAACATTGATCTGCGCACAACACAATGACACACAGTTGATTGAATATCAGCAAAGTTTCCCTGCTTCCCTTCACAGCAGGGTAGGTCTTTTTTCACTGTTATAATCAACAAAAAGCAAAAGCAGCATGTGTATACATGCAGTAGGCTATGTCATCAGTAGCTAGCTATCTAACCCTACACTTTTCAGGGTTTGATTTGGGTTTTGGAACAGGGAAGAAATGTTTATCTTTTCCCAGCCTCTCCAGGTAACGAGTATCATTAATACACGACGTGCCCCAGGCACAACATTTAGCTCCAAATCCACACAACCAGCCTGAAAATGAAGTCTAAAATGACTGTATTAGAGTCAATGGAGCACAGCTGTATTGTTGTTGGACCCTGGTCTGAGCCGGCCCAATGCTACATTATGATTGGCCTGTCTGCGTCTGGGGGCGGGACTTAGTGAAAGGTCAATTGTCCAGACTGGAAGCCCTGGTGGCCGCTTGGTCGCCTGGTGGAGATCTGTACTCTACTGCAGTGGTTCCTTAACTTTTTCCTTAAGGGACTCCTTTTCCATTACCCCTGACTAAGTGACATATGTTATGGATATTTCATATTATATTCAATACATAACAATAACATTAAAGAACAACTGAAACTTTACAATTAACTCAAATAGTGAACTCAATCATTGCAGGAAGTTGTGCAAAATGAGTAAATGAATTTTGAGCAGCGTTATTTCTGTGAATTTTACATCAGAGATGAGTTTTCCTGATATTTTTAGAACTTTTTTACACAGTTCTCTGTCTTATCTTTATTTCAACAGTCATACTTGATCGGCTCATTTTTGAACAAATTCAGTGTTTTCATCTCCCAGATGTTTGGCCATTGTTCTATAAGCTCTGTGGCAGGATGAGGCTGTTTCACAAAGACTGAAGGCTCTATGAATATAGCTTATGCTCAGGTCTTTACTATGCACCTATCCTGGGAGATTTTATAACTTAAATAATAATCTGAACTTTAAAAATAACAATTTAATTTACTTTTCTTCATAGACATAAAATGAAAGGCTGAGTTATAGGCGGACTGTATATTTGAAAGAATAAAGGCCTCGCAGTGCTGGGAACCAGTGCTCTACTGAGTGCACTTTTCTGGTTTGACTATCGATGTTTTGAAATATCATACTGTGGGAATGAGTGAGGGTCACTTTACTTTACAGCTAAGATACAGAGCACTTTAACAGTAAGAATGAAATACAAGCTGTACCTCCACTTTGGTTGAAGCGCTGCTTTAAGTTGTCCATCCTGTGTTTGTAAGTATGTGGCAGGTTCTCCAAACAGTGTCGAGTGTACCACTCCAACTGCTGCGGATTGTTTTCTAATGCTGTTTTCATCCAGTCCTGTTTTGGTTGTATTATCTTTATATTGGTGTCACAGTAACCCGTCAGAAGGTCATCAACCATTGCAGCACCCAGAAGCTGTGGGAAGTTTGGGACTCCAGAAGATGCAGTGAAGAAAAACTTCAGGGAGTGTTTTACTGCATGACAAATGAGGAACATTCAGTTTAAATATACACATCATCATCACCTTCATTATGATATATTCAGTGTGATCCATTTTAAACTTACAGTCTTACCAAATTCTAAAGTACTGGAGAAGTGAAAGTTAACTAAACAAGTGTGTCCTGGAGCTACGCAGGAACAAAATACAGAGCCCAGTGGAAAGTGAAGCACATATTCACAGTGTGATCTCACCTGATGACGAAATGTGACACAAGAGAAGCAGCAAAAGTAGATTTTTCATCTTGTTTTGATAAAGAGGTGACCGAGCTGGATCAGCTATATGTTCTGCTTTTTCTTGGCACTGGGAGGAGGGAGTGTCTGCTTCTTCTTCTTCTTCTTCTTCTTCTTCTTTTAGGTTTTATGGCAGGTGGCAACCAGTGTTAAGGTGCATTACTGCCACTCACTATATTGGAGTAATTTATCCCCCATGAAATGTATTGGAAAACGGTTTAAAACTAGGAAATTATATTTAAACTTGAAATTATATTTTCTGATACCATATGAGAGGAACAAGATCAGAGCGCCTATATATGAGCACCAGTTTCCTGATGTTAAATTCAGACAAAACTGAAATTATTGTTCTTGGCCCCAAACAACTCAGAGACATTTGATCAAGATTTGTCTTTTAATTCTCATTTAAAACAATCCTCACGGACTGCATTTTTTCATCTGCGTAATATTGCGAAAATTAGGCCTATCCTGACCCGAAAAGATGCAGAAAAATTGGTCCACTTTTTTGTTACCTCAAGGCTGGATTACTGTAACTCTCTATTATCAGGTAGCTCTAGTAAGTGTTTAAAAACTCTCCAGCTAATTCAGAATGCAGCAGCACGTGTACTAACAGGAACTAAGAAATCATATTTCTCCTGTTTTAGCTTCTCTGCACTGGCTCCCTGTAAAATCCAGAATTGAATTTAAAATCCTACTGTTAACTTATAAAGCTCTAAATGGTCAAGCTCCGTCATATCTTAGAGAGCTCATAGTGCCATATTATCCCACCAGAACACTGCGCTCTGAGAACGCAGGGTTACTCGTGGTCCCTAAAGTCTCCAAAAGTAGATCAGGAGCCAGAGCCTTCAGCTATCAGGCTCCTCTCCTGTGGA